CTTTTGGGCCTCAACTCGCTATCGCTCGGACGTCCATTCCCTAGGTTTTTTTCTGTTTCGTGCGTGGTTTTTTCGCCAAATGATCAAGGATGCTCCTCGATGGTCCTCGCCGACGGAAAATGCACACGTCCGAGCGATGCCAAGTCAAAGGGTCCCTGTGGGGGCCCGGAAGGGCCCCTGTTCTGCAGCCCTCGCTGCCCCCTCGTGTTGTCGCCCACCCCCGTGACGCTGCGCCCAAGAGCCCCCTCGGGGTGCCCAGCCGTGCGCGCCGAAGGGAGGAGGAGCAGCAGCAGGACATCGGGAGCGAGAAGCACTGAAGCGCTGCGCTCCTCCTCGAACTCGATCTCATCGCGGGTGCTGCCGTGCCCCAGGCGGCCGAAGTCACCCTGGCGCGAGCGCTATCCACACCCCCTATCCACGCCCTCCCGCCCCCCTCTCGCCCTCCCCTCTCTCACACACCATTCCGCGAGGAATGGGGCAGAGGAGACGTGAACAAGGATGATGGGGCGGCCGAGGATTGGAACGAAGGGCATGGGGAAGAAGAGGGGGCGAGAAGGGGGTTGGGACAGCTTGGCCCCGAAGAGCTATTAGAGTCCCAAAGGCGACGTCATCTGCTGGGTCAAAATTGACAGACTGCCTATGCTGACAGAACTGATCAGCGCAGATCGCATAGGGAGATATAATCAAGCAGAAATCAAGAAGCACAAGTGGCTCGATTCTGCCACAGAGGTTGGAACGCTGTGCAAACGCTGGAGGGGGAACATAACAGTAGCATTGCTTAACATAGCACTGGGCACGACGATGCGACACGGTTCGAAACCGGTCGCCTGCTTGCAAGGGCATGGGCCGCGGCGCAGCAGGGGGTATCCACGATACGTTCAGGATGAGCATAGGAGGTAAGACACGACATGCTATCTGAAGGTGTATCAGCTCTTCAAGAAGAACGCAGCAAATCTGACATAATGCCTATACACGAAGAGCAGACGCAAACATCGGCATGGGATGCAACGATGAGCATACGGACGGACGAGCAGGAGGGATCTGGAAATCCAGTGGAAGATTTGATAGAAACTCTGAAGAAAGATCCCCGAGGAATGAGTCAAGGTAAATTTACGCTAGGCCCCACATGAGTATCTGAAGCAGTATCGATGCAACTATGCGAAGGAAGAGAGAACGTCGGGCGGGTTCCCCGCCACCTACACCCCCCCTGGGTCTGGAGGGGGAAGTGCTACAGGGTCAGCTTGGGCCCAAGATGGATCCAATATGGGCTCAAGTAGCCTGATCTGCCGTCCAGGATGATGCGGTATAGGCAGAGGTTGCTCCATATAGCCTTCCTCATTTCTCATCGAGGCTGAAAGAGCACCTCGGGGCGACTCCAAGTGGCCACGGAACCTCCCAAGGACACCCCGAGAGGCCGAAATCCGTCCAAACCCTGGTGAATCCAACACGCACATCTCGCCGGTTCGCTGCCGATGAGCGTCTGACGCCTCAAGCTGGCTTCAAGATTGCGGATATGGACACCCACGAGGAACCCAGAAGGGCCCCAGCACGGCCCCAAGAGCGCCCAAGCTTCAAGAGCGCCCCAAGATGCGAAGTTTCGGTCTCCGGCGAAGGGGGTGGCGTAATTGATTACCCTAAGACGGCCTCAAGACGGTCCCATGGACCCCCAAGACTGCCCTGAAGCGCCCAAATATGGACCCAAGACTGCCCAAGGAAGGCCCCAAGGCGGCCTCCGACGGCCAGCAGGTCCTTACCAGGTCCCCAAGAGGCATCCAAGAGGCATCCAAGAGGCCCCAAGAAGCTCCAAGGAGGTTACAAGAGGCTCCCTAGAAGCACCCAAAGGGCTCTCAGGAAGCTCGCAGGAGGCCCCAAGAGCGCCTGAAGAGGCCTTCTCCTCGTCTTTGTCCTCCTCCTACTCCTCCTCCTTTTCCTCCCTCCTCTCCTTCTTTCGCTTCCTCTCCCAAATGCTCCCACAAGGGGTTTCACCATGGCCGGGGAAACACATAGTCCAATAGCTTCGCCAGACTTCAGCCCAACGTTTGGCCGCATGGGTGTTTCCAAAATGAAGGATGCGGTGGTGAATCACCGTAAACGTCTTCGATAACAAGAGACAACTGAAAGAAAGCCCCCCAAGCAAACACATCTGAACAACCGCCATATTGAATACGAAAAGGAGATCCGCCAAAATACGAAAAGGCGATCCCCAGGAAGATCTGAACACAAAACCTTAACACATACACTTAAAACAAACAACAACATGCTGGAGGCATATCATACATGAAATCGCAAACATATAGCATGCTGGTGAGTCAACCGTGCGACGGTTGCACGTCATGGGCTAAGACAAACCAGTACAAACCGAGCGCACCCATATACTTCAAACGTGCCACCCCTCGAGGCCAAGGCTGGGCATGTCCACCTAATTATTCTGCCCCCAGTGCAATTCCGAAAATGACGAACGCGGCCAGAAATGCAGAATCTCCCAAACACATCTCACAGACTAACAACGCTGCATCTGGGTGCTACATCGTCAGGCTCGCTTACCGCAGCTCATCCGAGATAGGACAAATGGGGAGACCCACGATCGGAAAAAAAGGCACCTGCCTCTCACCCCTCTGAAGATGAAGCCAGGACGAAGACAAATTCGGATGAGGATAATTCGAGAATCTCTGAGATCCAGCGGTTCTAGAAGAGGTCTCGAGCGCCGCGGCTTTCTCCGAGCGTTCCAGAACGCTCTGGAACGGATTGATCCTCGTCCTAGCCCCGTCCGACCTCTCCGTTAACTTGCAGATCGCCCGCTGAACGGTCTACGACCAACCCGTGCCGAAGAAGACGGGTAGACACAAACAAACAAGCAACGCAATCTGCCGCAGGGAGGCGCGGGATTCCAGACATCATGCCAACACCCCCCCGTTCCTGGGGAAACTAACAGGTACCGATACCGCGCCTCCCTGGACCTCTCCCAGGGTGCGTCCTGACCAGGCCTTCGAGGCGGATCCGGCGGTGGCGACGAGGGCCTCCCAGGAGGCCCCGACGAGGGGAAAGCGAGGCAGGGGTAATGAGCTGCATCGGCACCTCCCCTTCTAAAACAGGGCTAGGATCGGGATAAATCGCTCCAGAGCGTTCCGGAGCGCTCTCAGAGCGTTCCGGAACGCTCTGGAGCGGCCGCGGCGCCCAATACATCCTCCAAACCCGCCGATTCTCAGAGACTTCGAGTCATCCCGATCCGATGTTGTCCCGATCTTCGCGTCGTTTTACCTTCCCTGACGCACCCCGCTCCCGCCTTGCCCGTGGAGAACAGGCGGCCGCTCTCCAGCAGCACGACGGTGTGCTGGGCGCCGCACGCCACCTCCGCGGCCGGCGCGCCGCGGGCGCTCCCGCGGTCGGCGGCGGCGTGCGGCGGCGTGCTGCATCGAAGGCGGCTGTCGGGCGTCGCTGCCGTGCGGCGGCGTGCTGCATCGGCGGCGTCGGCGGCGGCGGCGTTGCCGTCGGCGTTCGCCTCCACACCCTCATCCTCCTGCTCCTCCTCCTCCTCCTCCTGCTTCTCCTGCTCTCTCCTTACTCCTCCCTCCTCCCTCCTGTTCCCGCTCCCGCTCTTCCTCATCCTGCTCTTCCTCTCTGCTTCCTGCCCCTCCTGCTATCCCTCCTTCTCTTTCTCCTCCTCCTCCTCCTCCCTCATCCTCCTCCTTCCTCCTCCCCCTCCTCCTCCCTCCCCCTGAAACGCTTTGTATAGAATCCGCCGACCCCTTGTGGGTCTCTAGGCGTGTGAGATAGTTCCCCCCCTATAGTCCCCCCCCCCGGGACCCCAAACCGGCGATTTGACCCCCCCCCCCGGGCCCGGGACGAGCGCCGCCGGGGCCCGGGACGAGCGCCGCCGGGGCTTTTCCGGGCCCCAGGAAGCCTCAAGACGGGCCAAGATGGCCCCAAGAGGCCTTCAAGACGGCCCACGGGAGCCCCGAGACGCCAAACGAGCGCTCCAAGACGCCCAAGATGGCTCAAAGACGGGCTAAGAGGCCTCCAAGACGGCCCAAGAGGTCCCCAAGAGGCCCCAAGAGGCCTCCAAGATGCGTCCCACGAGGGTCCCTAGACGCAAAAATTTGCCCATTCCCTTCGTAAAACGTACATTTTTCACGAATTCGCTTTTTGGGCTTTCCGACGCTCCCAGACGGCCCAAGAGGCCCTAAATACCGCCCCAAGACGGTCCAAGAAAGCCTCCAGGGAAGCTCCAAGGCAGCCCAAGAGAGCCCCAAGACAGCCCAAGAGGCGCCCAAGATTGCCCAAGAGGGCCCCGAAGACGGCCCCAAGAGCGCTCCAGGAGCGCTTCAAGTGGCCTCCAAGAGAGCTCAATATGGTCACAGACGGTCGAAGGGCGATCAAAGACACCGACGATCGCCTCCAGACGGCCCAAGACGGCCCCAAGAGGCCCCAAGAGGCCTCCAAGATGCGTCCCAGGAGGGCCCCTCGGCGCAAAAATTGGCCCGTTCCCTTCGTGAAACGTGCATTTTTCACAAATTTGCCTTTTGGGCTTTCCGACGCTCCCAGACGGCCCTGGAGGCATCCAATACAGCCCCAAGGTAGCCCAGAGGCGTTCGAGCCGGGGTCATCCGGGCTCCGGTGGATCCCAGCTCGAACGCCGCCGGGGGGAGCAAAGGGCCCGAAAACGAACCAAGAGCGCACCAAGGGGCCCCCGAGACGGTCAAGAAGGCCCCGAGTAGCCAAACCAGCGTTCGAACACGCCCAAGATGGTCCCAAGACTGCCCAAGAGACCCCCAGGAGGGCCCCTCGGCGCAAAAATTGGCCCGTTCCCTTCGTGAAACGTACATTTTTCACAAATTTGCCTTTTGGGCTTTCCGACGCTCCCAGACGGCCCTGGAGGCCTCCAATACAGCCCCAAAGTAGCCCAGAGGCGTTCGAGCCGGGGTCATCCGCGCTCCGGTTGACGGCTCGAACGCCGCCGGGGGGAGCAAAGGGCCCGAAAACGAACCAAGAGCGCACCAAGGGGCCCCCGAGACGGTCAAGAAGGCCCCGAGTAGCCAAACCAGCGCTCGAACACGCCCAAGATGGCCCCAAGACTGCCCTCCCCCTCGCCATCCTCCCCAACCTCACCCTCCTCATCCTCCTCAACCTGATCCTCGACCTCCTCATCCTCTTCAATCTCATCCTCCTCATCCTCCTCCTCCTCCCTCTGCTCCTCCTCCACCTCCGACTACTCCTCTTCCGTTCTTTTTTCCATGCGCTTCGCCATGCCTCTCAATCTTTTCTTCTGGCACTTGCCACTGCACTGTAACGCCTGGCAGCTACGAGCAGTGAAGGCGGAAACGCGGCGATAGCCGCCGGTACGAATCAAGGGGTCGGCGGATGTGGCGTGAGCCTGGAGAATTTGCCGCTCCCGGCTGCCGCGTCCCACTGAGGCGACGCTCTGGATGAACTGTACATGCGGCCAGGCGGATCCCTTTCCTTCTCCTCCTCCTCCTCCGACGACGACGAGGACGACGCCTTGACGACGACGACGACATTGACAACAACGACGGCGACGACGACATGGATGACGAAGACGACGACGACGACGACGATGACGAGAACGACGAACACGTTGTTGTTTCTGGTCGTTCTTCGCCTTCTCCCATGCATCGGGGCACTCCCTGAGCCCAACACGGCGAAACTGCACCTGCACTGTTGGTAAGGTGGCCGATGGGCCTCGGACGAGACGAATGTTAGAAGGTAGACCTCAACGCGAGAAACACGGCAGGTGAACAGGAACGAACGGAGAAGGAGCCAGCCAGGAACAAGCGGGGAAAACCCAAGAAGCCAGAGGCCAGAGTCGGAGGGAACACGGGCAAGAGGGGGAAACGACTGAGTGTCGAAACGCAGCCCAGGCCTGACACGCACAGATGTACAAGTACGAGCCGAAATGGCTGGAACAGGCATCCAGCCCAGCAAAGACAAGAAACGCAAACACTGGCACCTACTAGAATGAAGCATTCCGAGGGCAACTTCCGTCTCTACAAGGAAGCTCTAGATCCTACCCAAGCGCACGAGAAGGTGCAGCAAGAACGCGGGCCCGTCGTCCAGAATTCGCGGTGAGGGAAAGAGCAGAGACTTCCTCGGCGCGGGACCTCACTCCAGCGGAACGCGGCGCGGCGATTCGGCGGAAGACGACACCGACGGCCCATCGCCACAGAGGCTGGGGTCGAGAAGGCACTCCACGAGGTCCGCGCGGGCGGTGAGGCGACGACGAGCTCGCGGCGAAGGCCCCCAGCAGTGGAGCCGATCTCCGCGACGGTACTTCCAACGTCGACGATGGCGTGCTCCACGCCGTGGTGGTCGGAGGCGTCCACGTTGCTAGCCGCTGCGCCCCCCACCCATCAGGTTAACAGTCTGCCTCCCCAGGCCCTGCAGAATCGCAGAGCAGCAGGCGTCCTCGGTTGGGGAGGGGAGCGACGTCCTCCGCAGCGTTTCGGCATGCCGGGCGACGGGCAGCCAGACGTTGCGACGGGAGCGGGTTCCGAGAGATGATCTGATCCATGACCTCATCCATGCCATACTGATGAAATCTGCCCACGCCTATTGTTTTACACATCAGTCTGCGTTCACGTCAGAGCGCGCATCGAAATCGCGAGTCTGCATGGGCCAATCATCGCGCCCAGGCTCCTCAAATTGAGAGGGAGAATAACTGGCCCCAGGCGCCACCGGGCTCGAATTTGGGTCCACCCTGGGTGCACCACAACTTCCTCGGCCCTGGCACATGGGGGTCGCCAGACTCTCCGACAGCAGCGAAGGGGGGACTGACCCCAAGCCTTCTGAATATCGCGAGGCACTTGAGAGCCGACGTGGGGCCCGATGAGTACGGTCTCGATAAGCAGGGGGCAGCCTTCTTGTCGTAGGGGAAACAGCGCACACCAAACTAGAGGCGGTGGGTGCCATGGATGTCGTGCGATGCGAGGAGCGTCGCCTCCTGCACCAGCTCCCACGCACGGAGGGGGGGCGACGAATCCGACCTTCCAAGCCGAACTGGTTGCCCATATCGTCGCGTCGGTCATGATGGGCATGTTTTCCACCACCACCACCAAAAGTTTGGAGGGGGAGGGGGTCCTCCTCCTCCTCCTCCTCCTCCTCCTCCTCCTTCCCCCCCTCCAGCTCATGGTGGTGGTGGTGGTGGAAAACAGGCCCATCAGGTCATCCTCCAGCATGTTGGTCCTAAAGGTCCACGCCGTCCAGGCCCGAGTGAACGGCGGTAGTGGAGAGTGGCCTCGTGCCGACCGAGGGGCAACGGCCAGAGGCCGACCGTGCCACCACTGGGCATCCCGCCCACGCCACAGTCCACGAAACCCGTCTGGCGGTCAGCGACATCCAGGGGGTCTGAAGAGTCCAAAGTTCCATCTGGTGGTCGATGCTGTTTCGCGTGGCGTGCGGATCGATCGCCGAGATGATGCTTCGAAGGGCGGCGACGTGGTGGGAAGCAGCTTCCTCAAACCGAGTGTCCGTGGTATACGTACTACCTGCTGGGACCCACACAGACCATTCAGCTGGGTAGAAGGGCGAGACATAACAGCTGGAACATGTGGTAATCTTTCGCATGAACCGCGGGGCCGCCGGGGACGAGCGCGTCCATGCCCAGCTTTGTCTGGAGAGGAGAGAGAAGCGCACAATAACTCGGAGGTTTCGCACCTCCTGGCGTACACGGACGAAGCCTCGATAGAGGTCCCGAACCGCACGCCTGGCCATCGCAGCTGCCGCGATGGGCAAACCCAAGGAGACAGAGGAGAGAGGAAGGCGGCTGTACGCGCTGGGCGCCGCACCGCGCCGCTCAAGGAAGCCTCGAACCGAAGTCGACGACGACGACGACGACGACGACGACGACGACGACGACGACGACGACGACGACGACGACGACGACGACGACGACGACCCCCCGACGACCCCCCGACGAGAGGGCGACCGTGTCGACGACGAGGCGGCCGCCGAGGCCACCGGGCCTGCAGCACCCGCTCCCCCGTCTGCTCGCCGAAGGCGGCCACCTCCGCCGGCGGCCGGTGGCGGGAAGCGGCGTCGACGACGACGACGACGACGACGACGACGGCGACGACGACGACGACGACGGCGACGACAACGACGGCGACGACGACGACGTGACGACATGACGACGACGACGACGACGACGACGACGACGACGACGACGACGACGAGGGGCGACCGCGCGACAACGCCAGGCCCTGGCCACGCCTCGTCGTCCAGAGGGGTGGCAGGTACGAGCAAGGAGAGGCGACATCATTTACCGCCACCAGCCCGAGGCGTCAGGAAGGGGTCTTCATGGTGTTGTGGTCCTTCCCCTCTCGTTCGAGACATCCCCCACCCCCAGCTCAAGGAGGCATCATGGGCCCCCTCGCTGGAAGAATCACCTCTGGTAAAAGGTGCCGCCCCTTCCTCCGGGGAGGGTTGAGTCGGGCGCTGTGTCCTAATAGCTAACATCCAAGTGTTTTATACTGGTCGACGTGCGCTTCGATTTCGACGTTGCGCAATTCGGGTGGAAAAAATCTGCCCTTTGATTACTTCGCCCAGAAACGTTGAACTAAAACTACATGATCAAATCCTACGTCGTTGGTGTCGGTCCCGCTCGCAGAAGTGTCGATTTCTGCGTTGCTGGCAGTTCACTGTGTTCTCGAAGCGTCGATTTGGAGGTTGGGTAACTTTCCAGACACGTTTGCTTTGTCATTTTCGGCCTTCGCCAACACTGCTGAATTGCGGTGTGTTCTGTCCCTGGCCGCTTGAACTTCGTCGTGGGACGTGTCAAACGGGGAGGCGGTTGCGGTCGCGCAGGCTGTCGTGGCAGTGAATTTCTCGGCGGTGGCGGCGATGGGAAGTGGCAGCGGCGAGCGGAGATCAGACAGTTGTTAGAGAGATGCGGAGTGTGGCATAGAAAAACATTGACTTTTACGATATGGGTGGTTGCAGGAGGTGAGGAGAATGAGGCGGATGCATCACAATAACAACACTAACCACATACTTGTGAGATTGGCAGCACATGCCCAAACATGAAAAGCTTCGAACCTGCAGATCGTCCTCTCCCCTCATCCCCCCTCTACCCTCCCCCGAGTATTGGCTGGTCGGGGGCCCGTCTTCCCCGACCATATCCACGCTCCCCCCCCCCTAAGTCCACGGAGGCCAGAAGAGGATCAAGACCGGACGAAGGCCCAAGTCCTCGGCCCTCTATCATCCTCCCCAACTCGTCGGCCCAGCCGGCAGAAAGGAGGCTCTCCACCCTAGTCGGCTCCGACATGGTCTCCGAGGAGCCGTGCCCCAACGCGCCTCAGCGGCCACGGGGGAGGACCGCTCGGCACATGGCCAACCTCTTCATCCTCCAAATCATCACGATCGTCATCACCCTCTCATCCACCACCACCACCATCATCACCATCGCCATCAGCATTATAATTACCATCAGCAGCAGCATCGACATCTGCTGTATTATCATCATTATCATCATCAGCATCGTCGTCGTCGTCCTCCTCCTAATCATCATGGTCATCATGAGCATCACCAGCATCATCGTCACCACCGCCAACAGCGTCATCATCATCGCTTCACCGTTTCATCATTTCAGTTTAATCATAGTCCCTATCCATCATCATCAGCATCACCATCATCATCACCGTCGTCATCCTCCTCGTCCGCCTCCTCCTCCTAATCCTCATGGTCATCATGGTCATCAACCCCATCAGCATCATCACCACCATCACCATCATCGTCATCACCAGCATCATCATCAACATCGTCGTCGTCAACACCACCATCATCATCGTCGTCGTCAGCAACGTAATCACCGTCATCAGCATCTCCACCAGCACCATCCTCATCAACATGATCATCATCACCATCAGCGACTTCATTACCATCGAAATCATCGCCAACAGTATCGTCGAGGTCGTCATCACCATCATGATATATCATCAGTGTCGCCACTGTCGTCGGCGACATCATCATCAACATCACCATCACCACCACCACCACCACGACCATCATCAGATCTCTTCACCACCGTTGTCATCGATATCAGAATCCTCGATATCGTCACCATCACCATCACCATTACCATCATTATCATCATCGTGCTTATCATCATAAGTATCATCATGATTACCATCATCATCACCATCATCACCATCGTGGTCTTAGTCTTCAACCTAATTATCCTAGTCGTCATGCTCCCTGCCCTGCTTACATTCTCTAGCATGCGTATCCTTCCAGCACCTCATCCTCTTCCTCCGCCTCAGCATCATCAACATCCTCCCTTCCTCCCTCCTCCCTTTCTGTATATACATCCCCTCCCCTCCTTCTACACTCGCATTTCCGTCCCCCCCCCCCTCCCCCCCCGGGCCCACTCCACCTGCCAAGGTCCTCTTGTTTCATCCTCCACCTCTCGTGCCATCCTTCCTTCTGCTCCTTCTCCAAATCCTCGTCTTGCTTCTCCTCACATTCGCTCGCTTATCAGCCTCCTTCATTCGCTGTCCGCGTATGCAGCTCTTCCCCGTCGGAGCACCAGACGTGTCGGTAGAGCGGGTCGGGTGTTTCGCCTCAGACTTCCCTCGCAATTTAGGATCCTGAGGCTTGGTACTGTCAACGGTTCAAAGGATGGAGAGCGGGTGCTTGTCGCAATAGAGCCCTCGCAATAGCGCCTCGCGCAACTTTCCTAAAACTTGCAACACATACGCGGATACAGAGCGAGTCGTTTTGAAAATAGAGCTCTCGCCTGAGCGTCGCGCGCACTCGTCTCAGAACTTTGCAGAGCATGTACGAAGATGGTACACCATTCCTGTTCAAACAGAGTCTTCGCGTAGCGTCGCGCGCACTCGTCGCATAAGCTGCAACAGCCTGCCGCACTTACACATAAGGAAGGCAATTCTGTATCCAAAACGTGCGTGTCGCTTTAGCGCCGCGCACATTCGCTCTAACAGCTTGCAATCGTCACAAGGATAGACAACGATTCCTATTCAACATGGGCTCCCGCTTGAAACTTCTGCAATCTAGAACATATAGGGAATGTGCAACTGTTACACGGATGGAGGCCAATTCGTTTTCAGAATGGGTTTCCTCCCAACGGAAAGCAAGAAGAAGCATAAACTTGCGCATCGACTGAATACGGATGGAGGGGCGCTTCTCTCAGTGGGGCTCTAGACTGGGACTTCCAACGATCCGCTGGCGACCAGAAGCCTGAGCATGTGCAGTAGCTGTGCAGCTGGCGGGCGAGTTTCTTCCAAGAGGGCCAATCGCACGAGGTGTCCTCCAATGTGACGACCGGGGCTTCAAGCTTGCCCCACACTTGCACGGATGGGGGGGCGGGTTCCTTTGCACACGGGCACTGGGAGTTCGCTCGAAGTGTGCATATCAGTTCCTGTTCGAGGTGGGATTCTCTCCCCGGCGCCAGCCCTTGGAGCGCCCGTCTTTCAAGCGGGGGACCCTGGTTGTGAAAAGGGAAACGTGTCGAAGCCTACGACAACATGGAACTTGGGAAAGGGAGGATTGTATAACACCAACATTGCGAGATATTGTGTTTCATATTGGTTCTCCCGCCCCCCCTCCTCCTCCAGTTCCATCCTGCATTCCCCTCCCCATCGTGGCGTCTGTCAACAATAAAACTGCCGCCCACTCACGGGGTACATCATCAATGACGCAGCTCGGCCACCCGAGGCAGGAGTCGACGAGGATGTGGATGGAGGCAAGGTCGAGGACGGAAAGAAAAGAGCAGAGGTGGAGGAGTTTTTTGTTTTGCGCAATATTTTGGAGAGGGGGACAGGGAAGGACAGGGAACTCGCGAAGCACCACAACACTCCAGTCCAATAGCCAGTCGCAAGCAGCCTCACACAGCCTGCCAGGCCCGATACAAAAACCCTGGACTCGCACAGTGAGGAAAATGCATGCGTCACCGAGTCGGTGCATCGGCGCAGGACCATTTGCACGAGGAGGAAAATTGAAACGTCTTATTCGAATACGACGAAAGGATAATGGCACTGTGTGTACATCAATCCCCATATGGTCACAGCGACCACAAATATAATGAGGCCTCACACAATGGCACAAGAAAGGACAACTCAGTGCACACCAAATTAAAACACATGCGCACATGCGGCGGCAAGGCTGATAGAACACATCCCCGAAATCCTATAAACTCAGAGGCGGAAGCGGGAAGGGGGGGGAAGGAGGGGAGGAAGGAGGGGGAGGGGGAGCAGAGAAGGAGCACTATACGCCAAATACTAAGCAAAAGCGGGTGCAAGGGTCAGAACACGAACGTGGCGAAGATCCCAGGCCACGGCGTAGGCGAAGGCCATCAGATAACCCGTGTGAAGGTGTTGAACAGCATGCAATAGCAGTAAGAGGCGCAGAAGAACACGATGGTCATGACGAGGGGGAGGAAGAGCTCCAGAGGGTGGCGACGATACGCCGGAGCGGCGAGTCCCTGCCTGCCGCTTCTGTCATGGCTTGGATCCAAGCATCGCTCGCGACCG